TATTACTACTGAGCTGTGGATAAAATCATAACTGTCGAAACCAGGGTTACATTTTGTGCTGATTATTACACACGATAATCAAATATCAGGTGGGTTAAAGCGAAATAGAACAGCAGAGCCGCTCACTTCGTCCATTCAGGCATGACCAGACCAGATTACCTTGTTGCCCCCATTCTTCGATGGTCACCAACTCACTGCCCGTTTCTTGTCTGGTTGCGCCCAACCGAGGTAGGGTTTGTTTCTTACTCATCGGAATTCTTTGCAACAAGGCTTGTGTCTTGAGCGACTGCAACCTGGCACCTTCGGAGCTAAAAATGACGTCTTAGCCTCTTTGCCACCACGCCCCGTAGGAATTGAGTAAATAATCTGTTACTTTTGTTTCTACCTATGTTTTAACTACTGTTGTAGACTATACCGATCAAAACTGTAAACTTTAAAGTGGCATTGTGGTAGAGTAAGAAGGATGTTGGTCGCGACAGCCGCTTTTGTCGAAACATTATACCGCCTAGTTGCTTCTACTTGCCTAGGCAATGATATAAACAGGTCACGGCTCCATGGTATTTAATTGCATGCAGTGCTTAGAGATGCATTGAGACTGCGTCATTGAGTTGGAACGACTACGAATATTTGTGCACAAAAATTGCCTCTATCCGTTGGTAAATATACAGAATTGCGGTGTTCATAAGTAGCTAAAACATAATGTTTCCGTCGACGGACTAGGAAAACTGCCATTGTAGTAGCTTCTCGAAGCCATCAGGATTATATTTTTTTATTTTTTGTTTGTCTATTAATTCAGTACTTGCTCTTGATGCGAACTGCACAGTTACTGGCAGTGTCCAGTGCCACTAATAACTGTATTATATCATAAGCGAATGAACTTCGACTCTTCATCGTAATAGTCGCTTTGTTTTCAGATCGTTAATATGCGGCTTCAGTAACAAGTACATTCGCGTATTCGATATTCGGGATTTTTATCGTCACCAGATCAATATTCCGACGAAGGCTACGCATGGCCTGTGTGTGGATCCCTTCAGCGATTGGTGTATTGCCGCCTACCATGAGTGCACCATGCAGCTGTGGGACCTAAGACGTTGTGACAAGCCACTGCTGATTATAAATGAGTCTAAGCCAATTGTCAAACTGCAGTGGAGTCCTGTACGATAGCTCACCTTAAAGGTTGAACTCTTTGCTTACTTGTGTGTCTTAGGTGAAAAATAGTACGCTGGCATGTCTTTGTCGGGAATCAGACATCGTCAAAGTCTACCATCTGCAGCGAGTGATGTCGGATGATGGTGAATTGTGCTACTCAGATTGCTATATCCAGTCGTACTTCCCAAATGCCTCTGATGAAGTTCTGTCGTTTACGTGGTATCCACGCAAAGAATATCGTCTTCTATTGGCCAGTTCTTCGAATAGATTTCAAGACGTATCATACCATGAAAACTGCTGTTTGTCATGGCGGGATGCTGATCTTCTGATTTCCATCGATGGCACTTTGACCGAATGCATCGGTAATTCGTGCTCTGCCGCGTTGAGTGATGACGATGACATTTCAATGGTGATGAAACGACGAGCAGCCAAGGGCTATGGACTGGCGATTCAACACGAGCGTCATGCGAAGAGCGATCTTTTTGGAAATAATACAACCCTGAAATGGTTTTGGGATTGGATTGACTTTGTGAAAGATGCCATTCAGGAAAACCACGACTCGTCCGAGTAAGATTTTCAACTCATTTCAAATATTTATCAGACGCATCTAAGCATTCTAGCGACGCACGAGATGGGTTTGAGTCGTTTGCATAAACAAAACGTCTGTACTCTGTGATGTGATGTATGCTGCAACATTTACTCTGTAAGGTACTGGCTACTGCATCGTCTATCTGAAAACACATCTTCCTATAGTCTGTTCCTCCATGTTACTTGCTGGCGCCTCGTGGTGAACGCCTGTTGTGTTTCAGCTCCAAAACCAAGGGAAGCTCACGGATTGCGGTAACTGGTGTATGCGCAACCTGTTTGTCTGATTGAGTTAATTTATTTTTCTTTGTTTCTTTAGTTTTCCCAAATATGGATTTACCTAACTGCCTGCAGATTTGCAACCTGCTGAGTAGTTGTGCCTTGCTTTTGTGTGCTGACGGAAAAACGCAAAGTTTATGTGTTGTTGGAAGAAAGAAATTTGAATCACAATCTTATTTTTCTTTGAAACAGAAAAAACTTCTAGTGTAACCTTTCGCATGGCAAAGTATTGCCTATCATTTCATTATTCAGATGTTTTGACATAAGCTGTATTGAGAAAGTCTAGCAGATCATTCAGTATTTAAATTAGTGATTGCTAAAATAAAGTTACGCCTCAAAAGCTGACTTTCTGGGCATCATACCTTGTGAACGAGAAATACAGTTCCCAGAAGAAGCTAAATATAACTGAAGTCATAGGTACTACGACAGATGACTGATATCAGATTATATCTTGTTTCAGTTGTTGAATTGATAAATGCTTGTTTTATGCTTATCGAACAGAAGTAATATAGTAACTCAAACTTGGTTTTTGAGATCGTGGATCCACCGCAAGTGACTACGCGGCATCACTTCATTTGCATCACTTTGACCTTCCTGCAATCGATTATGAGTCGTACCATTCTTCGCACAGAATCCATTTAAGTACTTGACATCACGTTACGTACTTAATTGGACTGCTCGACTTTACTTTATGAAGAAGGTTGCTCTTGCGCAAAAAATTTACCTCTCATTTCTTCAGTGGCATCAGCTTGTTCGAAGATCGGTAGCACTACCGAGAAATCGGTAGCAATTCGTTGACTTCTGAACATCAGAGACAGCTTCTTATTCTTGTGTGGTCATACCAGAATGAACGAGATGTGTGACCATGCTCTCTGATCTTAGAACCTTTTGTGATTGCACGTCGACATGACTTTCTTTATAACTGACTTTCAAGTTTCATAATTAGCGCACGTTGTAGCTCTGATAAGAAATCTAGATGCTTAGTTGATCTCAAAAGCAATTTTTCTTTATGTTTGCGATATAACCCATAGAATGGTTTCAGATTCCCCGGCGTTATCGGTATCCTCTCTTCGCGAGACGGTCTGGAATCAAAAGCACAGGGTGTGCCGTTGGATCCGTGTGATATCAACTTTTCATCCGTCACTGTTAAGGTAATGTTCGTTCACACGTTACATATCGCGCACTGTACCCCTACTAACTTAGATATACTTCAGCGATCAACGAGAGAAGATTCTGCAGCTTTGTGGTTGGGGCAATAGCTGGAAGAACGATCGCTTTGCTTCCGCTGACCCATTCTTGCACAGTCTCTGTTCAAAGGGCGAAGTCGAACGTGCTGCCGCCATTGCTCTGTTCACGGGTCGTTTGCAGCTCGCCGTCAAGGTACTAATTTATTACTGAAATTTTATAAAAAGCTGAAGGCAGGTTTCTCGTTTATTTAGATCCTTAATAAAAGCGCTTCTTTTGCCGAACAAGGCAGAAGTCTGCAGCTATTTGCTCTTGCATTATCTGGATTTCAAAATGCGGCAAATACCACCGTAACATCCGTGGATAAGCCAGATGAACCAACTGCTTCGGGTGGCTTATGGACAGAAATCTGTGCCGCTATGTTGCCAAGCATTCAGAACCCCCACATTAAGGCCATGTTTTACTTTCTCTCCTGTGAGTAACTGTTTCTTTCATTTAAAGACAATATATTTGAGGGAATGCAATTCAACAACAATATCACTTCTGAAACTTATTACTGTACCTACGCAATCGACGAGGCGTTTCAACAGATTGGTACCTTACTGAGTTTTCTCAGCCTTGAGACGATGTTCATTTGTCAACGTGATAAGTCAACGTATTAGTATTTTCGCCTAATCTACCGTTTAAAGCTTTTCGTCAGCAAAACTAATTGACGAGAAATTTTTTTAGATCTTTGACGCGATATTAAATACAAACTATGATACTACGTTGATGTTAGTTTTTAATTGAATATACAGCTGGCATTGCAAAAGCGAAGTTTCAGTATTGCGATTATGCCTTCTTGATTTTTTTCTAAATGTACATGAAACATTTCTGGTTTTTTACTTCACTGATTTGTTCAGTTTATCACTTTAACAGTTCATGGATACAATTGACGAAACGATATCATTCAAATGTTTATGCTTAGCACTCGACTGTAATTCATCATGTGATGCTCATTCGCCAGGGTTGCAGTTTCTCGTAATTTCCCTCTGTTGACAACTTTTCATGGCCCTCTCCATAAAAGTGCAGTCATTCACATCTCATTTTATCTCTTACAATTTTAGTTTCGAGAAAACTCACCGTATCAATTCCAAGCATATCTGTAACTGCTTTGTATTTATCATTGTGCATAAAGATTGGAAGCTGATATTAACTACTTTTTGCTTCTATTCACCGCCTGTTCGCTTGCTTCATTCCCTGGCTGATATCATTTGATTTCATCATGAACGGAACTCCGCCATGGCCGGTCCCAAGCCCCGATGAGAAAGGTGGAGGGTCGCAGACCGTGGCAAGTCTCCGTAAAATTCAGCCACCTGCCACGCATGGTATTCACGCCTTCGAAAATTATGCCGGCTCGGTCGTCGCCCGGGTTACCAAGGGCCGCGCAGGCTGTTGGGGGACTGAGGAAGACTGCGAAAAGTCGGCGATCAGAACCTGTTCATTGCCATCTGCCAGCCGGGGGCGTGGCAGCACAACGACGGCTGACTAAGACCGACCGAACGACGACGAAGACACAAGTCAGCAACGGAGTTGCTACCCGCTCGGAACGGAGGAGGCAGACAGTGCGATGCCATTACAGCACGTCAGAAAAGGCTCCACGAAAACGACACCACCAGTGGGAGCTTATAGTCGGAAATTGGGACATGTCCTCACTCAGAGAAAAAGAACATGAATTAGTTGATGAGGCGACGAAGTACCAACTCGATATTGTTGGACTCTCGTCAACAAAACGCCCAGGCTATGGACTCCTGAACCTCAGTATATGGAAGCTGTTCTACTCAGGCGTCGATACCACGAATCGCGCTAAGGCCGGTGTTGGCGTTCAGGTACAACCCAACCTTGCCGATAGAATAATCCAATGAAAGCCTATCAGCGGAAGGGTGGTAATCCTCTGACTGAAGCTACAACAGGCTAAATCGATGACCTTGGTAC